AATTGCTTGCCAAACGAAATTATACATAGGTGCAATCCCGTATTCCTCGGACTAAAACTAGTAAAACTGTCAAAAAATAAAACTTCGCTCAGAGCGAGAGGGTAACGTTAGTTGCGTTCGATAACAAAATTAGCCAACACCAGCCAACAATCAAAATGAAGAGAGTAAGCGAAAATTCTCTCCCAAAGAGATGAAAAAGCCAAAAAGTAAACGAACAGGAAATTAGCCATTACTTGCAAAAACCGGAAGAAGAAGACACACCAGCTGACTTTGTTTATGTTTTATTTGTAAACAAACTCAAATTCATGTTGCCTCCATAGAAGAAAAAAAAAGGAAAGTGAACGTTCAATGTTCGCCAGGAACATTTCTAGAAGTAAAAACTAGTTGGCGCTATCATAAAGTCACATAGCAGGCAGCCAAAAAGCATATAAATACCAAAACTCGGAAAATGCAATTTTGTTTGTTTACTAAAATTGCAACCATATGTTTTGTGATCATATGTTTTCGTGTTGGATAATTTTTGCTGACTAAAATTTTGCCAGTACAAAATGAACGCTTCTCTTGCATCAAAATGAACGCTTGCTCTCTCAATTTTTGTGTGTTGGATAATTTTTTGTCGTTATCGAACGCCATCCAGTAAAAATTTGGCAAAACTATTACAAATTTTTGACTTGTCCAACGCACCTATTGAAAAGTACGGGATCGCTTTCTAGTAAAAAATGGCAAATTCTGTCAACTTCAACGTAACCTCCAAATTTTGGATGTAAATTTTTGCTTATTTTGTATGTAAACGCACTCAGCTCACACATGTAAATAACCAAAAATACTTTCAAATTCATTTGAATCCACTTAAGCAAATAATTAAATACTTTTCTACACGAATTAGCAGAGTGCACTTTTCTTTCGTTTACAATTTGGTTGCCAAACGCACTACAGCTGATCGATTGACACATGTACCGGAAAAAATTCTGGACTAAAACTTTCTCTTTTTTGTCCTCTCAATAGTCGGTGAACCGAGTACGGGATTGATTTCCAGTAAAATCTGACTATTTCTGACTAGACCGGACATGTACGGGATTGCAACTTATAATGGCGTGACAACTCGTCTGTCAAGACCGAAACATATAAATAGTAAACTTTATACAAACCAGAGGTCGAAAATATCCCTCTCCACTTTGAAATTGTCCCAAAATAACCGTCACTATTTAAGAGAAAAAAAAACCCACAAAACAGAACAGGTGGTTTATTTTTTGTAGATGTGTGCTCCTCTCAGTGGGAATGGGTTATTTGCATATCCTTTTCCGTTGCTGTTGGACACGGACACTTATCGCTGGAAGGGGAAGAAAATAGTAAAAAAATAGTTGTAGAGTGTTTAAATTTACCTTGCTCTTAATTTTTGCATTTATCTTTACGCATCTTTGTTTTTGTTTTTATTTTTACCTTTGCCTTTATCCTTTTTTTATCAATAAAATAAAAACCACTTATTTTCGGTATATCATATGTGAACGCTCTCTTCTTTGTCACAAATGTTCGCACATGTATGTATACGTATATGTCGTGTAAAGAAATGCGTAACGCTTTGCATCCAATTATGAACGCCCACTTATATTTTTCAGTGTAACAATAACCCACAAATTAAGACACTTAAAATAAAAGTCCCTGCCAAAGTGTCTTTGCCTAAGGGAAATTTTAGAAGTTGATAAATAACCCACAACGGAAAACACAAAAAGATTGCACATAGTGATATGCAACGGTGAGAAACACTCTTTGCTTGAGAGATGAGTGTTTGTGTCAGTGGTAAACACCCATACAAGACACTTGGTGACGGTTATTTTCGATCTCTGATACAAACACGATGTGATCGTGCACTTTGATATTTATTTCATTTTCGACACAGTGTTATTATATTGTTATTTTTTCAGAATTTTTATTGTTAGTCCTAAACGTAAAAACGCAGCATTTCATTAGCGTGTTGCTAACATGCCTGACAAAGAACATGACCGAACATATTTTGGGTTGCCCTAATCATAACACAAGTAGTTCTGTTGGTACATACATATGTATGTATGTACCCTACAAGACATTGCTGAGCACTTTAGGCAAAAATTCTCACACATTTACACTTTTGTTTTTGTAGTACGGCATAAATGAGTAGTTTGACTATTAGTACTGAGGACTTTCTGATGACAACATTGAGGGGAAAGTACTCAATTTTTTCCCATGGCCTGAACGAAAATGAGGACTTTGATAAGCACTTTTGTGATTAGGGATAATGATAATATGAGTACTCATATGATACTCAGCTGTCTTGTAGGGTATACATACAAATATATATATATATATATATATATATATATATATATATATATAGTCATAACTTATTACGTTTATAATATCTTTATATAACATATTTATAACAACATTATTTATTTGATTTTATAATATAAATGGAATTTAAAATTAAATAATGTACATTATTTGATTGCATCTCCCAACTTTTTGTTGATGGGGTTAATCAATTTGGGCACTGAACGGCTCATATGTCTCTTTTTATTTTCTCGCCTGATAACAGGCTAACCTAATATTCACGCACGCCGCCAATTTATTGTCAAAAATTTCTCATGCACATGCAACTTTTATGAGATCAACCGAAATTGAACGGCGTGCGTATGAAGCTAACTCAATTTCCAATTTTTATTCTGCGTGACATTTTGATTTGACGTTTCGCTCAATGAAATCAAATGCAAACGCATGCAAGTCAATTTCGGGTGACGCAAAAAAACAAATTCGATGGCATGCGTACCAAAACGCAAGCCGCGATTATTAGGTTAGCCTGTAAGTGTGTGAGGATTCATTTTTTCATATTATTTTTTAAATGTTAAAATAGATTGAGTTGTCAATAATTATGCTTACAGGTCTGCGCATACATATGTACATATGTATGTAGGTATGTAGGTACGTATTTTAATTAATTAATTTAATTTAATAATTTATACATACATGAATTTATGTTCCTTTGTTGCAATTCGCCATTTAGGAGGTTGCTCATACGCCACCGCACATGTTTTTGCAATCATATTTACCTGCCCTTGAACTTCACTTATCAGTTCATCAGCACGAAATAGTATCTCTTTAGTGTAAATTTTAATCCACACTATAAAGCACTATCTGACAGGGTCTCACACTAGTCGAGTAAACTTACAATACACCTTTTCTCAATGCATGGAGAAAAGACTAACGCGCAACAGTGAGATATCATATCTAAGTAGGCTTTTCAGGCGAATTAAATTAGATAATAAACGCAGAAACTACTGTCGCTAACACACAGACACTTTACGTATTTGTACTCTTCTTCATTGACGCTAGCGCCAATTTAGCGATTTTCGCCGAACATATGTAGCATGGCAGACGTTCCTTCTTCTCGGTGGCTGTAGACCCCCCTCCAGGTTTTTTTTCCTTATTTTGAAAGCAGAATAGGCCCTTTTCTGTCTCTACAAGGGATGTTAATCCCGGGATCCCGGCCTTTTTTAAGTTTTGACGTAGAATACGTCATACCTTACGATATGGAGGCTATGCTGAAATGTTGTAGTTGTAATTTTTAGAGCTTCACGAAAACGCTTATTGCTAATGGTTGAGGTGAGCTGAAGACAAATGAGGTGAGATGAGATAAGGTGAGTTGAGGGGAGATAAAGGGAGGTTAATTTTCAATTTTACCTTTAGCTTTGACTCTTTCACCCCTATTGTGAGTGTCGACTAGTAGCAGATAAACGACTATTATTCGATTATCGCTTTTCCATGGTATTGTGAATGTCTATTTCTCGTTCAATAAGCGACTGAGAATAGTTTTTAGTCGCTCATCCTTTTTCAGCTGTTTATTTGTAGAAGGATGAGCGTCTATAATATATTCACACGGACTTATTTAACCAGACAACGACGTTCACAATACCATGGAAAGGGGGTAATCGAATAATAGTGGTATATCTACTACCAGCCGACACTCGCAATAGGGGTGTTTATCTTCATCTCTTCTTATCTCTATCCTTTTATTTATCTTTATTTTTATGTAAGTTTTTGCCTTCTTGTTTGCCTGTTTTTATCTTTATCCTCCACTTTATCCTTATCTATATCCTTGTCTTTAACCTTATCTTTATCCTTATCCATACCCTGATCTTTGTCCTTATCCTCATCCTTATCTTATCCTTTGTGTCTCCCCGCACCCAGTGGCAGTCAATACTTCAAAAAGGAAATGAGTCAATACAAATGAAGCCGAGTGTATTTTGAATGGTTAAATCATTAATTAAACCCTTTTAAAAGAAGTTTCTCTTGCAGATATCGCCTATCTCTGACTATAACTGATCTGAAAACTATATTGTAAATGATTTTAATGGAAAACGATTGGTGCATTCCTAGCATTTGTGCTTAGAGGGCACAGAGAAGGCAAACATTTTTCAGTACAAAAGAAAACGCCATACGCTTTTTTCTAAAATTTCATAGAACCTTAACTATATCTGGCATTTTGTCCAGTTTTAAGTATTTTTTTGAGGTTTTTTGATTTTTTCAGTGTGAATTTTTGCTAGGTCATCAAAATCCTAGCCCTGTTAATGACATAATAACATGGTGTAAAAAATATTTTCATTTCCACGATAAGCAATGTTTACACTTCTATGTATGTAAAGTACATCTTAATACAAGGGGCACATAAATATTAGTATAGCTCATACACTTCAGCCTTTTAATTCATACACTTTTGAAGCAGAAAAATTTCAGGGTGTATGAACTACAGGTGGGCAGGGTAGCATTATGTAAACATTTTAATGTCAATTTAATTTATGGAACACGGACGCAACGCCCAATTAAGCTCTTTTGTGTGCATAGAACGTTATCTTCTTTCGTTTTGCCTATAGTCTTATTTAAAAAAAAATATCTCAACACACAAGTGCAATTCCGTATTCAACATTGAGCGCACGCTTTGTTAAATTGTTTCAACTTATTAGAACAGCTTTTAATAGTTTACACAGTGTTTAACTTTTATTGCAGCTTAATTCAGAGGATGCAAATTTTTTGTGAGTAAACACAAATGTTCGAGCAGTAGGTAATAAAGAATGTCAAAAAAAAACTCCTGCACCAGTTACACCTCACAAAATACAATTGATTTTTAATTACATATACATACATAAATACATTTTTTTTTATAATTATGATGAACTAACTCAAGTCTAACCACCACTATCATCTACTAAAGCATGCCTGATATAGCGTATCTAAACTGCTTTGTGTTTTGTTTACTTAAAATCAAATGGTGGCGCATCACGGCACGTATACGGCCCCATTGGCGCTATTATCACTTGTATTGACAAATTGTTACGCTCAGCCCCTATTAAATGCGGACTTAATTTAATGGAAGACAACGCCAGCTCATCGTAGGGTATAAGGTTGTCCACATTTAATACTCGCACTTTATTCGAGAAATACTCGGTACGTTCATGCACGGTAAGTATATGATCGATTTTATTCTGCACACCCGTGATCAGCACAGCCACCTAGAAACATGTGATTTTGCAAAAAACAACACTATTGATCACAATTTGCATATTAGCTACCTTAAAACGTTCCTCGTCCAATTGTGGATACTTGCAAGTGGCCCGTAGACGCACAGTTTTCAATGAGAACTCCGGCACATCTTCCCCCCAAATGATCTTCGCTTTGTTGTATTTGACGCCGCGCGGAAAGAATTCAATCTCCCAAGTTATTGTGTGATCTGGAAGAAATGGAAGAAAAAGCAAGTATGGATAAGATTTAATCATGGGATTTAGACCAAACAATTTGATACTTGATTCTCGGTAGATGGTAGGCTTTGTTTATATAATATGTAGAAAATTCTTACCATCCTCAGTTTCAGCAATATTGCGCTGCGAGAAAAAGCACGTAACATAGTTCGAGTATTTTTCGATTTGATCGAACTCCTTCACATGAATGCTGACACTCCATGTATCATTGGAGTAAAGTCGCGGTGTAAATTGCAGCATGCCTTCTGGGGAGTAACGCACTTCACTTACTCGCTCTTCTTGACCTGACTGATAGCTCATACCTGTTGAAATAAAGAAATTGTATTACTGCTTTTGTGATATATCTATAAGGCTTTATAATTTGACTCGCCTATTGCCATGCGCTGTACAATGTACTCCTTGTGGTATTCCAATAGTGGAAAGAGGAGCAAGTGCGCCAGTTCTCGCGGCGTCATCATTGCAAATCGTATGTGCACAACTGTCTGCTCGACTAATTGCAAGAAAGCAGTATTTTTTTCTTCCACGGTAAGCGTCTCATCGTTGTCAAACACCTCTTTGCGATGTAAGAGCCATCGTTGCAATATGCCAAATAGCTGATATTCACTAGTTACCACAATGTCATTTTGTTGCAGCAGCAACACCATAATTGCGGTATCCAATTCGACAAAATCTTTTGATTCGCTCACCATTTCTAAATTCCATTTCAAAAACCGTTTTAATGTCTCGGTGAGCTCTTTGTGATAAGGGCTAAAAGCAATTGTATACTGCAACCAAGATACTAGATAGCCTTGAGTGGCCGCCTTGGCAATGTGTTTCATCATGTAGTCAACGCAAAGCTCTACTAGATCCTATGAATGTGAATAGATATTTTAAATTTAAAGAAATTACACAATTATTTCCAAGTTTAGTGCTTGCCTTCACATTGTATTTGTCTGCCAGGGCCAACATTGGCATTACCGTTTGTAGTGAGATTTTTATTTGACCCACATACAAATATTTCAGAAATTGTGGAAATACCGCTGTGCAACATGGTTCTTCAACCAATTCGATAACATGCTTGCGGCACTCATTCCACTCGGGGTTCATAAGCATCACTTGGAACACCTCACTGCTGGCGCAGAGTATTACACGATGCGCTGGATACTGTTCATTGCCTACCACCAATATTATATCAGACATTAGCTGCTCTGCGTACAAATTAGCAATCTTTTCCAGGACGCTTTGCGAGTTGTTCATCTATGAGATACAAAGATTAGAGAAAAATATGGTACACAAGCCTATGCAATTTATTTTTTATAGCAGATACTAACCACACTCGAATCCTGACTAAGCTCCTCGCCTTCTTCCATTTTTAAGGTTGTGGGTTCCCTGTTAATTGCTCTGCTATTTATATCTCCGCCACCACCCATATAAACAGAATCGTCATCCATCTTCTCGGAGGGAATTCTATAACGCAGTGTTCTTTCTGCAACATTCAAGAATTGAAAAAACAACGTCTTGTAAACACACAAAGGACACACGCTATTTAGTTGTTTGAATTATAGAAAAATTTATGATTTTTTATATAATTAATTTGATAATTTGATGGCATTCAACTAATTTTGTGAAAAGAAAAATATCTGCAAGCAGTACAATATTCAATACACAAAAGAATGGCTGGATAATGAAACGAATGGCGAATAAAAACAAAACAAAAAACTATCAGTAGCAGGCCTGCCAACTTCCCTCAAACCGGCCACTTTTGGCCATTTTTCAATTTAGCACAGTTCTACTTTTCATCAACTAAAATTTTCTAGTCTTCTAACTTTATACTAATGGTTTATTTGACTTTTGTATTGCACGTTTGTGTCAGAAACGTGTTATTTATTTTATGGCTAAATGGGAAAGAAAGAATTCACTTTCCTCCGATTAAAAAAATGGCACCACTTGTGTCACATGAAATGATTGATGATGAAGACGTGATTGAGACAATTGGAAAAGTACGCATGTATTAGTGAAAAAGTTTTAAGTGTAATTACTTAAGTGTAATAACTTAAGTTATTCGTTGAATAATACGATAACGTTTAGCACTTTCCAAAATCGTTCAAAAAGTTTTCAAAAGAAGAAAAATACATATTTTTGGTGTGTGGCATGCGGTTCTACGTTTCTTATTTCTTATATACTGGTATGCTAAAATTAAGATTTAAATTTTCAGTACTAGTGAGTACCGACTTAAAGGCACATTTTAAATGCGCAAAAATACAACCCTATTAATTAGAAAGATTCTTATCAAAACAAGTGTAGGTTGAATGTCAAAATAAATTTAAGTAATTTTCCACAAAAAAAATTTGTTACGGCTTCTGTTTCTTTCACTAATCGTAAAAACGACCAAATGTATATGAAATAAGGCATAACCAAGCCAAATAGTGTCGTGCATAAAAATCGACTAAAGTGACGGCGCAAATTCCAGCATTTGTATTTCATCATACCCTCGGCTTTTTCGTGCCGGCTCATCAATGAATTCTTGTACCTAATAGCAAACAAACGAGCGCCTAAAATTCATAATGAGCATAGAAGTATCTACGAAAAAAACGCGCTTGTTACTGGAAGATCCCAGATTTCGCATACGCCCTTTGCAGCAAGTAGTGTCTGCCTGTACGGGGGCGCTAATAACAGCATGTTTCAGTGAGTACAAATAGTTGCCGTTTCCAAAAAAAAAAAAGTATCTTGTTTTTTTTTTTTCTATGCAGTGACACCGTTGGATGTTGTTAAGACCCGTCTACAAGCGCAACAAACCACCACAAACAAATGTTTCTTATATTGCAACGGCCTTATGGATCATCTGTGCCCATGCGATCCCAACATGCCCACACACCTAAAGCCGGAGAAGCGTTTAAATGGCACTATTGTACGTAATATATGCATAAATAATTTCTTTGAAATCAACAGTTTGCTCATAGGATGCTTTTGTGAAAATTGCACGCCACGAAGGCGTTGGTTCTCTTTGGTCCGGACTAAGTCCCACACTTGTATCTGCTCTGCCATCGACAATAGTTTATTTTGTCGCCTACGAACAATTCAAAATGCGCGCTTTGGAGCTGCACTACAAGTATCTGGCGGAAGTGAAGGGCTCGCCACGTGGCCGTGAGATACCTTTCCACATACCATTGCTCAGTGGAGTATCGGCGCGCATATGTGCGGTCACCTTTGTTAGCCCTATTGAGTTGATTCGTACAAAAATGCAGTCACAGAAAATGAGCTACCATGAAATGATATCCACTGTGCGAATGGTAATGAAAACGCAGGGTTTCTTCGGTTTGTTTCGTGGCTTACCACCAACGATTCTTCGTGACGTGCCCTTCTCCGGCATATACTGGACCTGCTATGAGAATATAAAAAGCTTTTTTGGTGTAGAAGAACCAACGTTTGGATTCAGCTTTATGGCTGGCGCAGTTTCTGGCTCGGTAAGTGCAAAAAAAGCAAGGTGAAATGTGAAAATCATCATGTATTACCAAACACAATGCAATCAACTTTTAACAAAACAGTGTTAATGAAGACTCGGAAAAAACAGCAATAGTTTGTTAAAGATCATATTTATCATATATCTTATCTTATCTGTTTTGATATGCGCATTGTAAACTTACAGTTAGCAGCCACCATTACAACACCTTTCGATGTTGTGAAAACGCATGAACAAATCGAATTTGGAGAAAAGGTGCTTTTTGCAGGTAAGCACTTGTGCCACTTATCAATACTTATAATACCCCTTCAACTTTCTAATTAATTTTAGACAAACCGCCGGCCAACGTTTCCAATTTAAATATACGACAACGGCTTTGGTCTATTTATCGCATGAATGGAATACGCGGTCTATTTGCCGGCTTAGGTCCACGATTGCTAAAAGTGGCGCCAGCATGTGCCATAATGATTTCCACGTTTGAACACAGCAAAGCATTTTTCTATCACTACAACATAGAAAAACACAATGAGGCTATATTAATGGCAAACCAAAGAGTAAAAGGTGTTTGATAGTTAGCGTGATATTATGCCTAAGTTCCTACGAACGCAGAGGCAAGGGCTCGTGGGAAAAAGGGGTTTACCTACATATAATAGAGTATTAATATATGCTGGGGTTTAAAATAGACCTTTGTGTTTAGCTTATAAATTTTACTGTTTATGTTGACCAATTGAAGACGTTAACTGAGATACTGGCAGTTGGCGCAGGCAACCTATTTATAATGTACGCACGTAAATCCTAATTATTAAATGGCAGTAGTTGAAGTTATGAATACCTATTTTTATAATCGATGGTCCAATCAACAAATGTTCCATTAAAAAGTAAATAAATACGCTTAATTGGCTTTTGAAGAAACCTTTGCATTCAAAACCCTTTTACCGCAAATAGTTTCCATCAGAAGTTTCGTGGGTTTATTAAAACGTAGACAATATTTTTTTTTTGTTTATTTTGATTTTTTAAAACTTGTAAGGAGTGACTGCATTTTAAAATGTGTTAAATTTCATGCACATTTTTTTTTAGTTACACTTTAAAACTTTTGCATTTTTAGTACCCGGTTCTAAGTTTTAATGATTACTTTTGATGCTCGACCGATTTTATGCAACCCTGAATAGCAAATGGAAGATGTGTGTGACAGTGGAGTTTATTTTTTTTTTGTTTATTTGTGGAATGCGAAAGTGTCAAACTGAATCAAAATAAAAACACGTGTGATCAACAGTGCAGCATTTAAGCCAAGAAAGTGTATTTTATAAATAATTAGTTGATTAACACAATGTCCGAAGATAAGCCTGAAGCCGCAAAAGAAGAATTACCGCAATCTTCGGTGGAAAACGATGAGCTTAAAGAAAATTCGGCAGCAAACGATGCCGATACAACAAAACCAGAAACATCTGTTACAGCAAAAAAACCAGCGGCAAAAACACAAAAAGGCAGAAAAAAGCCTGCAGAGGGTAATCCTGTACGCGGCTTGCCCAAGTCAGGTCGCCCATGGAAAACCCCAAAGCAAAAGTATTATTCCACGACACACTATATGTATGTACATTCATATTGAATTAACACGTCTTCATTCTAGGTTTAGTACAATAAAAAAGTCTAAACACCGTTTACCATTCGAAAAGAAAATGGAGCTGCGTAATGAACTGCGAAACATTAAGGAAAGATCACGAGAAATCAAAGAGCAACGCAAGGAAGCGGCTGTACAAAAGAATCAGAGGCGCATTGAAAATGCGGAGCGTCGTTTAGCAAATGAGCGTCGCTCAGAAATTGTCCAGATAATCAAGAACCCGGCGAAATTGAGGCGCATGAAGAAGAAACAAATGCGAATGATTGAAAAGAGGGACATAAGTCAAGTGAAAGTGGTTTAATTGTGACGTGTTTTACATCGCAGAGCAGGGCTAGTTTAAGTTTTGTAGTAACTTCCTTTTTATTAATTAAAAATTGGTGTGTCCCAGGAGCAGTAAGCCACGTGACTAATGTTTTTGAAATTGCATACTTTTAGGCACTAACTGAGTTTTTGCTGCTGAATAGAAAATTAAAAATAAAGAAATGGTTAGAAGATATTAATAATTTATTTTGGTGTATTGAGCTACGTACAAATGAGTAGCATTATGGGTGGCATTTGTAATCTATTTATATAGGTTATTTGTTTTAGAAATATAGATAGCTTTGTAAATGAAATTTTAACTCACAGCCATTCACAGAAGTATTCGTAATTTAGTTTTTTTCACAATATTCCAAATGTTTCCCATTATAAATCTTTTTCGTTAATTTTCACTTAAAATATAGCTCATTCTATAACAAAAACCATATACATAAATGATTCTCGCAAACTTTGTACAAAATTCATAAAAATGAATTAAACTTGAAAAAATTTACATCAAAATTTCAGACTTTTTATTCATAATTTTTAGAAACCTTTTCGGTATGCAGTTTTATAGCCCATTCAATTAATAGTACAATAAAGTGTAAGTTTCAAGTAGCTAAAAAGTACCGCTGATTTTTTAGAATTTTTTTTCGAGGGTGTTGCGCATTTGTATCCATATAAGGCATGAACAAAATCTATTTTTATTATTACCTTCCTTTTATTAGCTCTGGATGTAACTATGTAATATTGATGCGCCTAAAAGATGCAGCGATTTCTATTCTCAAGTTACATACCTGATGACAGTACGATTGGCAATTATAATAGGGAGGTTTTAGTTTTTAAACTATAATTTTATTATATGGAAGAAAATGCGCAACACCCTCGACAAAAAAACTTCTACAAAATCCGCAGCAAATTTTGGACGCTTGAATCTTGTACTTCATTATACTAAAATTGAACGGGCTACAAAATTGCATACCGAAAATTTTTCTAAAGATTCTGAATAAAAAGTTTGAAATTTTTATGAAAATTTTATTGAGTTTGATTCATTTCTATGAATATTGTACACTGTTTGCAGGAATGATTTACATATATGGTTTATTATTATGGTTTTATGAGCTATATTTTAAATGAAAATCAGCGAAAAAGATTTATGATAGAAAACATTTTGAATATTGTGAAAAAACTAATTTACGAATACTGCAAGTTTAACGCGCACCACGATCTATGTCACTCAAGCCTGGCTGAGCAGATAGACAATTCGACATTCTGCATCACGATCGACGACGTGCCCACCACGATTGTGGGCAGCTGCAGCAGTTCGGCAGACCTAATAATAGTACAGGTCTGATAGCTTATCACGGCGACCTATGCTAACACTGGCCAGACCACTTGCCCATAATCATCTCGGTCAATTAGCCCACCGACTTTGTTCCCGCGGACCATCGAACCTATATTAACTTTAACAAAGCTGATTTGAACGGCTTCGCGGAAGTTACCGAGAGCAGCTTCGCCGGCCTTCTTGCAATCACAGACATACACCCTGGCGAGCGCCGGTTCCGAAAGGTGGCCATTGTCGCATCGGCACGCGGAAATCCGCCCAAATTTCCCGGCAGAAGCAGCTGATCTAGCTAATGAGCGTGACCACCTACGCCAGGTAGATCCCGGGGAGCCTCGCCTTAAGGACCTTAACTTGCGAGATGGTAAATAAGGATAAGCGGAAAAAGCGAGAGGAGTACTGGAAGACCTGCAACTTCGCCTCTGGTATGAGTAATCTCTGGCCAACCATGAGTGGAAATTTCATTCGATGGTCGCACCTCGTTCGACCCGAAGAAATGCGCGAGCTATTTTAGGAGGCAATTTACACTGCATCCTTCGATAGACAAGGCCAAACGTCGAGCGGCCAGGGTGCTGCGCAAACTGCCCAAAAACAGTGCATCACTTGTTTTCACCAGCGGCAAAGTGAAGGGTCCTCAACCTGTCAAATGTACTTCTTTGCGATATTTTGTACTTCAGGTCCTATAGTTCTCCGATCTTCTGAACGATCGTCACTGGGTCTGGCCTGGGCGATAAATTCGTTAAAACCATTAAAGTCGCCGGGGACCGATGGCATCGTGCAATTGGTTGGATCCTATTTATGCGTACTGCGTGAGGAACGGGTACATCCCCAAGGCTTGGAGGGTAGTCAGTGTTGCGTTCATTCCGACGGCCGGAAAAGGCTCTCACATTTCCCCTAGGGTCTTAGGCCTATCTCAGGATTAGCTTACTTCTTGACAGAACTATCGCGTCGGAGTGGGGGAGCGCATGCACTCAGTGCAGAGTCAATAGGCGCACTCCACAAGGTGAAGTTCTCTCTCCCCTGCTCTGTATTGCGGTTGTAAACGACCTTTTAGAGGAACTGGAAAAAGTGGGCTGTCGGGTGATCGCCTATGTAAATGATTAAGGGTTGATGGGGGATGGTTAAGGAACGATTCCTATACATCCTTTTTGACCTGACTTAGAGTTACCTGAACCAGCTAACTAGGTGGGTAATCAACGGTAACTGTCTTGGAAGCCTAACATTGAGGAAAGGGTAAGAAAGGTGTCGGTTGCCTTGTACTGCTTTAGGGAGCTTTCAGTAAAAGGTGATGTCTCTCGCCCAAATTAATTCATTAGCTCTAGGAGATCAGATATAAGCCTATCTTATTTCAAGGAGCCCTTGTCTGGTGGAACTCTCTTCAGAAGGCTACACTTGTAAAACAGGAATTAGCGGAGCATTAGGAACCACACCTACACTGACGCTTAACGTATGTTGAACACGGCGCCTGCGGATATTGCAGACAGAATTGTCGCAGCACGAACTGCTATTAGGCTAGGGGAGACCGGGTCGTATTGTGACATAAAAAAGGAAAAGAGGACGTTTCTCTGCTGCAGCAAATGTTTTTATAGGGCACTTTAAAATACTTTTTGTAGCGCAAAACACGAGTGACCCATCGTTACTCCTTAAAGGTGTCGGAAAAACACGTTACGTGATGGGGGTTCTGACAGGCCATTGTTCGATTGGTATTCATGCGGTAAGATTTGGAATTTCAACTGATCCTTTTGTATCTGCTGTCTAGAGGAAGATGGAGTGGGATCATCTCCGAACTTTCTTTTAGACTGTCCAACCTTAGCGAGGCTCAGATGGAAGCATTTTGGCTCACACTTCTGAACAAACACTGAGCTCTCAGCGATCGAAATTATCCGCAAAATATAGGATTTCCGATTATGCAATTTCATTACTAAAAAAACGAGAATAAATGTTGTTTTTTTAATTTTTTAATTTTCCCATTAGAAATTCTTCTTCCACTAGTACATCGATTGAACCGTTTCTTTGAGTATATTTAGGGTAAAACTGGACCGATTTGCCTTTAACGAACACATATTTATGTATGTATGATCTGCTTGTAAGTTTATGTTAGTTTATTGTTTCTGCATAGGTTATTAATACTTTTTTGTGTATATTTTGTTTGTTTAAATACATGCTTCTAAAAGTGCTGTAAATACGTTTTTATTGTAATATTTTATTTTGCCTTTGTATTTTTAATTACATAGTTAACAAGTAATTTTGTCTCTTTTTTGTATTAGTTGACTTTCGCACAAAGCTGTGATTTAAATAAAGCACTTTCGTTTGGTGTAAACTGTTAATATCCGATAATTCGGACAATTGGAACATCATTTGTATGCATTAGCGACATCGTAGCGGTCGAAAGTATAAATTGGATTTAGTAAAAATTTTTAACGAAAAAATTTGCAAATAAAATTTTTCTAACTTAACAAAAATTCAAGCAACTAACATACTTGGTCAATTCAAAATAAAACACAAAAGTTTTTGTTTTTTTTTTTGTTGTTCATTATGTAATTTAATATCAATTTAAATACAAAAAAAAATTTGGTTTTCCACTCAGTTTTCCTTTCCTTTTCGTCACCAGCTGACATTAATACATTATTCATTATTCTCATTTATGTGTAGTGGTATTTGGGATTTTCATCATTCTTGCGTAGAGTAAAACAACAATTTCAAAATAATGTAAAAATTAGTGAAAACAATTAAATTATAAGGAAAAATAATTAAAAAATATATGTATGTATATATATTTTTTTTATTTAAGTAATTAAAAGTAGCGTCCTGGTAGTTTTTGCTTTTTTGTTCGGACCTCTAGTAACAACTGCTTTATTACTGCTCACTAGTTCTGGTTGTAGTTGTTGTTGTTGTTGTTATTGTTATTTATTTTGTTTACTCTCCTGCGGCAGTTGTTGCTACATAATCATGTCGTTGCTTTTTTGTTGTTATTAATTTACTTATGTGCAATGGGAATCATCGTTTCGCCAGATGTGATGGCGGGCAGTGGCGCTTCCACGGTTAAAACGCCATCCTTGCTGAGCGACGAGCGAATCGATTCCGGATTAACACCCTTTGGCAAGAGGAACTCACGGTTGTATTCCCTGTAGACGCTCTTCGTGTCCGATTTCTCTTCGTGTTTGGCATGCACCTGTGAAATAAATGTTTGGAAAGAAAAAGAAAAAAAGCAATTAGAGAAAGTTTCAATAGATAGAGAGAAATGTGTACGTAGGTGCTATTATACTTGGCGTTTTATTTGATTTGTTGCAATATGTATGTATGTATGTTCACATGTACATTAGGGTGCCTCACCAAAAAACATTGATTCGGTTTAACCAACGAAATTATAAAGCTTATTATACTTTAAGACTTCCACAAAAATATTAAGATTTATCTACTTGAGCTGGACCAATATGAAAATACTACCAAACATCTCATTTTGTTTCCTTTGGTAAAATTGTTAAATATTTTTATTTTATAAATTTAAGCTTTTCTATCATCTGAGGTGATTCTTTAGAAAACATATTTTGGTTTAAACTAATTTTATTTATAAAAAAAATAAAATTTTTGGAGCTATACGGAAATCGCACCAGCTCGCGTAAATCTTAATATTTTTTTTTAATATTCTGGGGGAAGTATCAAAATATAATAGATTCTATAATTTCGATAGAAAAACATTGCCGATTTTTTTTTTTTTTGTATGGAGAGTGATGCGCCCTAATGTATGATGATGTATGTATGTAAGAGTGCTTGAGTGCTTTTTTTTTTAGTGGTGGTGATACTTTTGCTGTCACGATCATTGCATACGTTGTGTTTTATCTGGGACAGCATGACAGCGCGTAGGCTGCATTCATGGCACAAAATTTATTTGAATCTCAAGTGCATAAATATTTTTTGTTTGTGTGTGTATTCAATTTGCATGTTACTGTTTATTTGGCCATCATAATTTTTACAAGCATAGTGTAAACCTGCTAACTACCTACAAAGAAATTAAACGTGGCATACAAAAAACTACTAAGCAATTTCGAAAAAAAATTTTTGTTTGGCCGAATGTAGGCATCCCCTTTTATATTTTTAAATTTTTTTGAAATACAGTAGAATCTCGAAAAATCTAACCGAATGTCACAAGGGTAATTAACCTTTGTAGTTAAAAACCCCAAAAAATTGCTATAGGGAAGACATAAAAATCGTTAGCATTGAAAAATGGTAAAATAAAAAATTGGGTATTATTATTGGAAGTCTCCTAAAGAGAAACAAGATTTTTCCGAACGAAAAATATTGATTTTAAAGAATTATGTACCATTTCCACGAAAAAACTTCACAGGCTTTGAGGCAGTACTAAATTAACATAATGGTACTCTTTTTAACAAAAAATACGGGCACTCCTTTTTTCCATTAAGAGAAATCCCAGGGGTGAGAGCTTAACATTTTAAACTTTTTTTTTTTACCACCCTAATGCACATAAATAAAATTTTGTAACAAAAAGGCACTTTTGATTAAAAACTTTTAATTTCTTTCTCTATTTTTTTAATATATTTTTTAGCCAAGTATATACTACATATCTTTATAGATACATACACGCATTGTACATATAAAAACGATGCTTACATAATTAAGAAAAATATATGTGCAAAAATCCATTTTATTTGCTAAATGCAAATATTCGCCAAATTCTAATGTAAACATTGTATTTTATTAGCTTCTGCAGCTGAACTCAAATCGTTTGTTTATAAATTTTTGTATTTCATACGCTTGTTTGCAATTGTAAATATAATGGATTAGAGATTTTTTTCTTCATGCGACTACTCTAAACTCATACGTTACGTAATAAGAAAATATGTAGGTAAGTAGATACATACGAAAGCATACATTTCTACATATTTCGATTTGTTTTTTGCCGAACCCGCATTTGCAGTCTGATCTTAAACCGAAAACATTTTTTTTTTGTACCAAAGTTCATTGACCTCAAGCACCCCCCGTTCCAGTACTTACATACCTACCAGTTCCTATCGCCCTAAGGTACATACCACCCTAATTTCAGTAAATTGAACCTCGCTAAAAGTTATTAAACTTTCATCAAGAAGGCATTTCGTTTATTTATTATTCCAGTAAAACTATTTAATTTTTTTTATTGTCGAATATACATATGTAAGTATGTATTTTTTTTTTAAATTGCCTTGCAAAAATACTGTAGACTCAGGGACGTACGGATTTTTTTTGTTTGTTTGCTTGTAAGATGGTACGGTCTAATGTACAAGTACATATGCAAATAAATTTGAAATAGTTCGAGAAAAATCTTGCAAAATAGAAAATTCCTAACAACCGTATACGCTGTTGCTGTTGCTGATCGGCAATGTTTATTAAATTATTTATTTGACTGCCTGTGTGTGTCTGTGGTTTTCGACTTATCGGCGACGACGAGCATGAGTCAATTTCCAAAAATATACACCCACAAGCAGGCATACTTTTGGTGAGGAGCAGGGTAGGGAGCTAGCAAATCACATTTGTAGTGAAATTGGAATTGACGAACAAAAAAAAAAACAAACAGAAATACGCAAACACTTCAGATTCATCCGAAATAAAGCAGAGATAAATAAAGTAGGTGGAAAAACAGATGCTACAAATCCTACAAATTAATTTTTGACGAACTGTCAGCGCTGCTGGCGACGCGATTACTAAAAAATTTGCCAAAAATATCTACACATGTACATAAATGCATTAGGGTGCCTCACCAAATAAGTTGCGGGGTTGCCACCGGAATTATGAAATTTACTATATTTTAAGACTTGCGCCAAAATACTACGAAAAGATATTTAGATTTTCGGGAGCTGCAGCGATATGGATATGGCCCCTCCAAAGATCGAGTTTTATATCTATATATTTGTATGCAGACCAATTAAGCTTAAAGATGCATATCAACTGAAATGATTTTTTGGAAAAAAATATTTTTAAAAACTAATTTTATCTATATATAAAAAAACGCAAATTTTTGGAGGTAGTTCCAAATCGATACAGCTCACGTTATTCTTAATATTTTTCCCAAATATTTTGGCGGAAATCTTAAAATATAATATATTTTATAACTCCGATGGAAAAAAGTATCGATGTTTTGTATGGAGAGTGAGGCAGCCTAATGTAAATACATACACATGGACTATATTTGTCTTTTTAGTTAAGTTTTTTTTGTTTAGTTTTTTAAGGTTTATTTTTCGAAGTGCTAATACTTTTTCAAAACCATACGTTTTTGCTATGCGGCTTTTGGCTTGGCACTTGGTTTATTGCCTGATTAAATGCGAGTTGTATTCTGCATATCGCCGTCATCAAAGCAAAAATTTTAAATTTTACAGGAGAAGTAAAATTCTTTTTAAATGTACTAAGAAATGCTGCGGAAACAAAAAGAGCTGCTCCAAAGTTGCTAATAAATCTTGAATTTAAAAAAAAATGGTTCTGAATTCTGGCATATGTAGCAGAGTAGCTGGGGACGAACTAACGGAATATTTAAAACCCTATACTTCTGAAAACATATCGAATAGGGGTTTCTTGCACAGATGATGACGATATGTACATATGTATGTAATAGTGTAGGCAATGGTTAGCAGCGAGATCGTGGTTTTGTTAATTATATGTGCGATCATTTTGTGTTATTTTATGTTCTTTGTATTTGTGTGTGTGTGTGTGTGTTTGCAATCCAATGGCACTTACCATCAATTTCTGATCCACAGTCTTGACAACGATTTCTTCGGGGGCGTATTGGCTCACATCGAAACGCAATTTCAGCATTTTGTTATCGCCATCCTCCTACGAAAATAAAAACAAAACACAAAAATAGTCAAATTTAGTAAAATACATTTACATATATACATACATACATACATATGTATTTTAGAATAATAACAATTGAAAAATAATTTTGTAAAAATTCCTACTTTATTAATGAGCACACACACTGCATGAGTAGGAGTAAGAGCTTGTTGACGCTACTAAACAAAAACATAATGGATCACGTCATTGTTACAATTAAGCCACAAAAAAAGACATGCCAAAAATTATTGTTATATTTTTATTTGTTGTTGTGTAGGCAGATGCTTTTTACAACGACAAAAAAAAATTATTTGATAGTGAGCAAATGAACTAGACCTTAGAAAAAATTTATCCGACATTCGAGACAACTTGAATGAAGAATAAAAATTTATTTGTCATTCAAAATGGTTTAAATGATGAATGAAAACTTATTCTTAATTTTTTTCATTCAATTATTCATTTTCCTGATTACGCCCATCTCTAGTACATACATCCTAGTGTTCTTAAATTGAATTGCCCTACATCAACTACATGGAACGTAATTTTTTCCACTGCCTAGGTTACAAGCTGAATATTTCACGCGAAAAATTTTTCTTAAAAAAAAGACATTGCTAAGCACATACTATTTTGTGTTTAGAATAAAAAAGACATAACATCTTTTAATACAGTTTTACTTAAAACAAAAATATAAAAACTTGAAAAATTATCGCAAAAATGTATATATACACACAATATACATATGTATATCAATCATGATTTTTTTGAGTGAATTAGTATAGTTTTTTATATTTTCGCTAAATTCAAGCTAGAATCGTTTCACTAAAAAAAGCTTAAAAAATAGTTATAAAAACCTGTTTGTTAAAACTGGACTTTTATATACATTCATATTTGCTGGGCCTCGAGCTGAATAAATAAAAATTATCATAGCTTAATTATAAAAACCTTAAAACAAATTGAGACAAGATTGATAGACTGCAATATGGCGAGAGTACCAGTTTGTCATAATCAAAGAAGATAGAAAATAAGGACGCTGTCCCGACTTTTAAAAACTATTCTTAGAGAATCACTTTAGCCAACATAATGATGAAAAAGCCCTATCTAGAATTTTTTTTAAATTCTGGCCACACTTTTGGATTTCGGCCGCACTGTGTGCCGTGTAGAAAAACGGGCGTTATTGGAAAAGGGGCGGGGTATTTAATTTTAGACAGGGCGGCGTATACCGGGTCTGCTAGTGCATTAGAAAGCTTATAAAGTTGTGTCTATAAAATTCTATGAAAAGCAAAATATTGTGATTTTTTTCAACGTTTTTGACTACGTTAAAAAAAATGTATTAAAAAATAAAAAAAATAATTTGCATTGATAATAATTAATTTCATATTTATTTATACTAAACAAACTAACAAAATTTTTTAATAGGATAATCCAACAGAGTAAAAATTTCGAAATTAATTACCGCACTCAACCGCGTTCCAAGCGTGTAATATTGTTTCGTTAGAAAATCCTTTAAGTATTTGCATCATATTGAAAAGGAGTAAGAGTAATAATAATGAGGCTGTTAAAACTATTTCAATAGATATGTATGTAGACTAACTTGCATTAATTAAAATACTTGTATCATTTAAATGAAGCTGTTAAATATTATAATACTAAAATATTTATTTCTTTTTCAATATAAACTTTAACTGAGCAAAATTTTTATTTGTTACGCGAACATTTTAGGCACAGTGATTGCTTCCAATTGGCATAATTATTGAACTATTTATATATTTATTGCTAATTAATTCCAGTTTATTGCGGTATTACAATTTAAATACATAATTTTTTAAAAAATTTATTAGAACTGTAAAACCAAATTAGCTACAAAATAAGATGCTATAGAAATGTAACTTTTGAGCTCGTATATTTTGTAATCATTTTTTTTTATTAGGCTTTTCTCAAATTGCTTTTTTCGAAAATTATCCACGCCTCCTACAGTATGTGCGTGTGTGTGTGTTTTATTCCTTATACAGCTTATGCTGATGTTATAATATAAAAAATAAATATAATAAAATCTTACCTGAATGAGTGGTGAACTAATGTCAGAGATGTAGTTCTGTCTGGGTGCTGGACGGGAGAGTGAGTTTGGTGCGCTGTAAGAAAATTATAAGAAAAAGTTTTAATTCCAAACGGAAATAGATAAATACTCTAACATACATTTATAATCACATAATCACAAAAAATAAAATTATCAAAAGTTTTACACAGAGTTGCTAGTTACCTACTACATGTATCTTACTGTGGGAAAAATATATGTATTTAAAATGGATAGTGGAATGTGTAAAATGTTTGAATTAGTTGCGACATGCAGCGTGGAAACTGGTTGCAAAAATAGTTTGTAAAAAGTAAATCATATTTGTGTTGCATATCGAGCCCTAACCGCCAAAATAACGTAAGCGACATTTTTTCCAAAATTTTCTTTTGGATGCAGAAATATTCCTAGAGCATCTAGATGCATCTCTGCATCAAAAAGAAAATTTTGAAAATAATGTCGCTTACGTTATTTTGGCGGTTAGGGCTCGATATGTTTTACCAAAATCATAAAAAAAAATTAATACATATTTACTGTGTTTTTTCACTGGTTAACCGATTAAAAACCCAAGATTTTTGCAGGTAATGATTTTATGAATTTTTTTTATTTACTCATTATTTACCTAGTGGTATGTGTGCGTGTATGTGTTTCATAGGTGCGCGTATAGGAATGCATAGCGAATCACAAATGTCTTTAAATTAAATTGTGAAACTAAATTTACAAATCGAATTTTGAAACAATGTATGCATTAAAAAAAAAGCCTTTGTAAAACTACACGAAAATAAAAATTCAAAACACTCCACCACACTTCATTCACTTTCGAATACTGAAAGCCAATTCTCTAATTTCCCCACCATTTATACATAGTTCAGCTTGAATTCGTTGCTTACATTTTATTTATTATCGCTTTAAATGTAAACAAAAACGATATTCACTGAAGAAAACACCCCCAAATGAGCGTCGACTTGTTGTCCCTAAATTGACGCTTGCCACTTCCGTTTCCGGCAGCACGTGTAATGCGTGGCTTTACAGCACGTACTATAATGCACCGTTTGTTTTAACTACATATGTACATATGTATATATGTAAATATGTATGCATTTATTTCTAATTCTTTCTAGACCAAGTGACAGTGACATTTAACGACGGGCTATATGGTTCAATGAGCCGCTTTGATGAAAAACACATGCGCCCTGCAAACATTAACAGCATCATCGTGAAGTGAGAAGAATTACTTAAACAACTACAAAGCAAATGCAATGATGCAAGCAACTGTAGCCAATCGAAAGGGGAGTAAAGTACAAACATAAGTGCCCTGCAAGAAAAATGTTGAAACGAACGTCAAATGCATGCAGTATATTATTTTAATAATACCTAAAGTCTAAAGTGTTTTTGCAAGGCAATTGCGAAAAGCAAATTCTTTTGCCGATAGAAAAGAATGCACAACGAAACATTTTGGTCAGCCGAAAATCATTATAACAACATATTGCACAACCTACGAAAAGAGTTTTCTGTTTTATCATCTTCTTTATTAAGCTTACTATATTAAAACACAAAAAAAAATTTTTCAATTATCTTCATTATAAACAAAGTGGCGCTATTTACATTTGAGCCCTCTCATTAGGATATGGACATCCATTATTGTGACGGGGTCTGCCTCTCTCTGCCAATTAGTTTAAAAAGTCTAATAATTTTTGATGTCTTCTTTCGTTTTTAGCAATTTTCTTTCAATAATTTTCAACATGTCGCAGTTGTGAACAGTTTGGTCGGTTGTGGTCCTTTTGATCGATATTTACCCCGGGACTGACATACCAGTTCATGGCAAGAGGGTTGTAAAGGCACAATGCTAAATCGGCACAAAATTTTCTCCGAAAGCTCACACTTCGCCGCACACATTTTGAAGAGTACGTAGAAGTTATAAGCAACATCAATTTAAGAGAATGTTTAAGTGAGAGCCGATAAGTTACGTTAAATTAAGTTAAGCTGCCATAATCAGGCTTTTACTCTACACCTGATTTTGCAGTATTGATGTCATTGCGAATGAGGTAAACTCTCTATCCGCCTGGGTTATTTTCGATTTTACCAGATACATGTTATATGTATGTATGTACATTAGTGCGGATCGGTCCCCATACAAAAAAAAAAGTTTTTCCAATCCACCCCTAGGATTAAAGATATTTTGAAGGCGATCCCAAAAAAAATTTTTTTTTTTTGCCACGCCGTACACCGTTGTTCATGGCTTGGAAGCCGCCACAATTCTTACCTTAATCATTTTTTACTCCGAGTTCAAATTCTAGTAGTGACTGTCGGTATTTCGTTTCACATCATACCTAAATTCCAATTTTTTTTAGTCTGTCGAAAAGGCCTTTAAATTCTGTGAAACTTTTTCTAAAAAATGATTAAGGTAATAATTGTGGCCATGAACAACGGTGTACGGCTCATTAAAATCGGACTTAAAAAGGCGACGTAGTGTCAAAAAAAGTAAATAGCCCATCGGGGGGGCGTGGCAAAAAAAAAATAAAATTTTTTTTGCGATCGCCTTCAAAATATCTTTAATCCTAGGGGTGGACTGGAAAAACTTTTTTTGTCGATCCACCCTAATGTACATTCATAATATGCCAATGAATGTCCTGTAGGGCATGCATGTTCACTCTGCATCTCCCATGGGAGCGCGAACTAAGTATGCAACTGATAGCCAAACATATTAATCGACGCCTTATTGGCACTACAATTTCTTTACCTCAGATATAAAAGGAAAAAAAACATATCGCTTATTTACTAAAAGACTGACATGACTAGAAAATGCAAATTTTGAGAATATGATGCAGGGTTACTTGTTTTATACCTTGCTTAATATTTTGTAAAAATTTCACACAAAAATCTTGTATAGTTTTCTTGGGAAAAAATTATATTTCAACACTATTTTACGCATTTTGAGAGTAAATTGGAAACTTGCAACGCCCCATCTGAAATATTGCGTATTTTGAGTTGTGACGGTCTTTTAGGAACATACCATGTACATATGTATGCATGTATATGTAATAGGAAGGATGTGGACGCTTAATTTTGGTTTTCAGCGCTCATCTTTATTTTACCTTGCCCATCTGCTCAACATTTGTTGCATGCAGGCGCGACGAGTCATACATTCACACGCATAGGTGCCAAAAATAGCGCATAAATAAGTACGCTAGCATTTTAGTGTAGTGTTAGCCCCCCAAGGCATTGGCGCTTAGTAATTCGAAAAAAAAAATTGATGGAAAGGAAAAGCCGATAGTGAAGGTTAGGGTATATTATCGATGTTTGAAAAATCGATGTTTCGAGAAATCACATCATTTCGATGTATCGGACTAAAACATCGATGTTTTACCGATGTTTTTAGGAAAGCTTGCTGATTTTTTTATATTGTTCACAAAATTTAAAATTGGATTTAAATAGTTTTTCTTAAAGAATGAACTAAGTTAAAAAAAAAATAAAAATTAAAATTAAATACGAAAAAAATTGTGGGTTTGTATTTTGAAAGGGTGTGTAGTGTTGAGAAATGTATTAAAATTTAGGTTTAGTACTGCAAACGAGTTGGTTTTTGCGACCGGCCGGCTTTTCATCCGAGGACAAGTTTGGCAAACTGGGTGGTGGCGCTAACCAGTTTTACAATGTCACTAGTTTTAAAGCAATTTATCTATTTCGATGTCTGAAGCCACGACCATCGATGTTGCTCGATACATGGATGTTTTTTTTTACATCCCTAAGTAGTGCATTCAACGCTCATAGCGCAGCAGTTATTGTCGCGCAAATTAAAAGCTTTATTTACCAGTCACATTAATTTATTTTATAAATATTATTATAATGTTTTTCGACAGCTGTTGCTAAGCATTTGCTTGCTTGCGGTGAAACGTGAAATTAAAATTTTTTTCTTTATTATTAGAATAAATTAATGACAATTTGCTTTACAAAATAAGCCAACACAATAAACAAGAAAATATGGTTGGTTGTCATAGTTAGAGAATAATGAAGAATGCAATTAATGATACGTGATAGATATAATTTAGAAACATTTTAAATTGAAATTTTGCAAACGATGTTCGAAAAACTGGGTCATATTGTGTGAGATTTTATATAGTATGCACAAAAATGCAATTATTTCTGCAGTCTAAAAATTTTATTTTAAAATAGATATGTATGTGTAAATTTTTTATTGCACAAACTAGTCCAACGATTTGACACTTAGTGAGCCTCTCCGAACTAGTCTAGATGATGGTAAGTATTATTGTTTTTGCACAAATCGAAAATGCCCTTGATTTTAGACCTCCATTTCAGCTTCTGCAAAGCACTGTCGGGGATTGGATCAGTTTTTGTGGCAAAAACGCGTTTTTTGTATTGACAAAAATTAAAATTTTTATCCTTGGTATTTCAAACTAAATAATTTTTCGCAATGTATGTGAAGTGTTTTATTCTAATTTCTTTTCGCAAATTTTTTATAAAAATATAGTAAAATATAAAATATATAAAATATATAAAATTAAAATCTCAAAACTTTATGCAAAATTCACGAAAATTCAATAAATTAACGTCCTAATTTGCAACTTTCTTATCAGATTTTTTATAAAAATTCCAACACCCAAATTCATAAAAAATTAAGAACACTTTAACTGCTTTATAAATCGAAAATTTGTACGAAAATGTCACTTTATAGAGGAGCTCTAAATTTTTTTTTATGAATAAAGTCATAAGTATGCAGTTTTATAGCCCATTTAAATTTATATATATAAAACAAAGTGCAAGCTTGAAGTTTATAAAAAATCACATTGATTTTAGGCATTTTTTTCATACACTTTCTTGCATACTATAAAACAAATTTTCGAACATACTACTTTGTACGAAAGAAACTGCATGAAAAAAAAATGTTCGGTCATAATTAATTTTTGCCACAAAAATGAGTCAAATGACCCATAGTGCCGTAGTATATTTATAGTACAGTAAGTTTTTTTTAGCTTTTTGGCTTTGAATTCTGACTGCTGATACGGGGTCAGCGATCAAAAGTATATAACTAGTCTCCAGATATAAAATATGTACCTACGACCCACATAGAACCAGTGTTTTGTTAGGAATGAGCAAAGTTACAATGATGACAAACCACTTCAACCAACCAACCAACCAATGGCCTAACTAATTGTTGAAAGCATAACTCCGCTATATAAACAAATAAAAAATAATTGTTTGCCGAACGAAACTAGTCATTATGTTTCTAGACATTTCGGGTTGCTTAATCTGAATCGAATTTCAAAAGTTGGCTTCTATTGCGCCTCTTGCTCCTTGCAACGCTTCGATCAGTTCTAACCCTTTTAGGAAATCCAATAGTGTTTAATGACCCGAAGTATTTCTCCCGTATTTTTCTCACTGCATCAGCTGCATTGTAACAGAAATGGCATAAATCGTTAGACCAGATCCCGGGTTTTCATAGGACACCTGCATTGAGCTCCTAAGATACCTGTTGGAATTGTTAATTTGTTCTTTGGGAGGTTAATAAGTTTGTCAAATCTTCTCCAATTGCATCTCCACACAGACTTGGTTCCAATGCTGTTCTGTAGTTGTTATTTCTTCGCTCCTAAGCTCTTCTCTGATGGTATGGGGTGCTATTGCAAACGGGGGCAAGGCATCATTTTGTTATAGATTTTGGATCTCTGAGTGCGAATCTGCAGTCAGTATTCAAAATTTGTAGAATTTGACATCCACTGTTTTTATTTATTTTTACTGCAGTGTTCAGATCGATACGAAATTTTTTTACTCGATTCGAATTCGCTCATTTGATATGCCATCACTAATTCGAAAATTTAGCGCCGATCGTGACTCACTGAAATATATTTTTCATATTATTTTGCTATGCCCGATGTCTGCCAACATTCTGGCAAAATATTTAACATTTGTGTTGCTTGAATTTCATTAGGATAGTTTTTACTTAGCTAACATTTTTGCTTTGTACCCATTAAATTTCATTTAATTCTTTTAGGTTTTATTTTTTTTTTATTTTGGAAATTAATATGTATTTGCTGTTTTGACAAGTTTTAGCCATTTTCTTTCGTACATTTCACTTTCTTTTTTCCTTTCACGTAGTATACATACATACATATGTATGCACGGCAAACAATAAACAATTTGGCAAAATGAAATTTGGCAACTGTGCCAAATTCTTACTCATTGTACTCATACTGGCTCATACAGCTCTCCTATTTTGCTATTGTACCATAGATAAAAAAAAACAATGTCTACATACTCGTTTTTAAAAAATGTGTAGCGTAAGAAAATTGGTCTTCCTATAAGTTACAAATCATCGACTAGCTTTGCAGAACGTGCAATTACATATAAAAAACATAAGTAAAGAATTACAAAGGTAAAAATTAAAAGTTCAAAGTCCCCATTATAAAATTGTATTTCATTCAAATATTTTTAGCTCTTTGAAACCCAGAAAATGTATGAATATTAATGCTTAAAATATTAAAAACTGTGCACATATGTATGTATGTTTGTATTTAAGTGTGTGCGGGGTGTGTGTCATCAAACACTAAATAAATTATTTGCATAACAGCAAAGGTGTTCGCGACATCATTTTCATTGCCAGTTCGCTTCTAGCGAAATTCCATAGCATTTAACTGACACGTCCCCTACCTGACAATTTAAGTATCGAAATTAGTTATGGTATACATTTTTGAACGTGCAAGAAAATAAAAAAATATTATACTTAGCTACAAAAGTGTTAGTTTCTTAAAATTAAAGACTTAAAAAACAGCATGCAAATTGTGATTTTACTATAGAAAAATTATAACAAACAAAAACTTTTATTATTTTTATAGCGAAAATATTTTTGTTTCGTATGTACCTGCTGCTGCTGGTTGTAGTCGTTGTCTTTTTAGTAGAACTATTTTTTATAGTTTTAAGTTTTTTTTTTTTCATTTCGTCGAATGAAAAGAAGCATTAATAAGCAAGATTGAAAACAGTTTACATAGCATGAAATACGTTTTTGTAGAATAAAGCATACATATTTTTTAAATATGTAAATATGTAGTGGTTCCATTATTGTTTATTTTGTAAGCATGTAGAAAGAGCAGAGAGGAAGAAAGAAAATATTAGTTAGTATGATAAATATACATAATTTTCTAAATTTACAAAAATTCTTACATAAAATATTATATTTTCGTCGACTTTTTCACGTACAGAACTTTATCATTTTTTTTTTACAATCTTTTAAACTAAAAATTTTTTTTCGATTTTCGTTGTATATTCTCTACTAGTGTAACACCTTTGTAGTGGCACGCGTGCGTATATCAAATTTTTACCAACCATTTTTTCAAATGAAGGCACTTCGTTATCGGCTACCTTAACGTTTTTAATTACTTCAGAGAATTATAAAATATTTTGCGCAATGACAGTTTTATTTTCCTTTCACAGTTTTGGTTTTGTGACAAACCCGGTTTAGGCGTTGTGCCATCGTCAGTGTCGCTGTTCCTTCTCGCGAAACGAAAACTGCGCCGAAAAGCGTTTAAGTTTTCACGAATCGAAAAATTATATTAAAGATGGCAAAAAGGCCGAAAGCGTTAAGTCTCCAAACAAAAACTGGCAAGGGATGACGGTAATACAGTGGCTCATACTCAAAATCATGCAGTGATCATGATTGCCACAATTGGTAACTTTCTACCAAAATTGGTAACTTTTAAACGATTTGGTAACTTGGTAAATTTTATTTTATTTTGGTAACTTTTGCAACCAAACATCTATTTGCATTATAAGAAAGAAATGAATTATGTTTTGCCTGTGCGTAGTTATAAAAACCCTTCGAGTTTCAGTGGCAGCACTACTGACACTTCTACAAATTTACTTCGATAAAATTAGAGTCATCTCATATTCGAATACTGGAAATATTTGAATTACAGTGGCAGCACCACGAACTGCACTTCTGAAACAACTTTCGAATGTTTGCGATACATTTTGACATCGACAGTACCAAAGGTATAAAAATTCGGCCATCTGGCAATTTTTGGTAAGGTCCACAAATCGATTTGATTATTCCGGCAGAAAAAAAAAAATGTCGCGTGCTTTTTACCAGTCCCACCTACCTACATGTATTTCGACCCACAGAATTCGAATCTGAGGTCCGTTTGACATTACTGTACGTGTACTGTATTATGAAAAAACCGAAAAAAAATAACTCGAAATTTCAGTTTTTCAGTTTTCAGTTTTTTTGTATGCCGGTGCTATTATTCCGTGAGTCGCAGGTTCAAATATCGGCACATTCCGAACGAAAAATTACACATTGAAGATGGCACAACGCCGAAACCGGTTTGTCTCCAAACCAAATTTGCTAAAAGATGACGAAAAATCGTTCCAGATTACATCAAACTCCTACCGTGTCGGAAACACCAACAACGAAAACAAGAATATCGGCACATGCAGTAATTAATTGATAGAAAAATATTTTCTAATAAAAAAAAATATTATAATTGTCAATAGCATTTTCAATCTTGATAATTTATCAAGAAAATAGATTTAAACTTCTTTGCTAGAACTGGCGTGTTTTGATAAATAATCGAAAGTTGAAAATTTATAAAAACTAGTGTTCGCCCAGCGGTTGAAATTCAACCGATAAAATTAAGGATAGTTTATGTAAGTTGAAAGAGCTAAAATAACATTAGTTGGAATGGGTTAAGTGGAGGGGAGTTTAGCTTAGTACTTGGCATAACATAACATAACCATAACATGAGAATAAATAACATAACATATGAAGCATAACACACCACAATATAACATCGCACACTCTTCAGTTGTAATTCCTTTTCATCCCTTTTTTCACCTCTATCTAAATCTTATTTATTTTGGTTCATTTTATGCCAAATGATGTTGCCTTTGATGCCACATCAAGTGATATCATGTCATGTGGTGAAATTGGGTGTGGTGAGCTGCGGTGTGGTGGAATTGGGTGTAGGAGTTATGGTGTGGTGAATTTAGGTGTGGTGGATTCAGGTGTGGTGAGTGAAGTTATGGTGAGAAAGTTGAGGTATGGTGAATTTTGGTGTGGTGAGTTGAGGAGAGTTAAGGTGTGGTGAGAAAGTTGAGGTGTGGTGAATTAAGGGTGGTGGATTTAGGTGTGGTGGATTTAGGTGTGGCGAGTTGAGGTGTGGTTAATTTAAGTGTGGGGAGTTAAAGTGTGGTGAATTAATGTGTGGTGAGCTCAGGTGGCGTAAGTTTTTAAGTTAAGATGAGTTAAAGTTTGTCCTTATCTTCATCTTCATCTTCATCTTCATCTTCATCTTCATCTTCATCTT